AACAAAGATACACATTACAAACACACATAATATACAAATAAAACTGACAGTGCTTTATTTTTTTCAGGCACAGTATGTGTATTTAGCAGTAGCATTCAAGAAATTGAATAAACAAATAAAATAAAAAAACACTATATACAATTCAATTTTACATTGATTCTTATTAAAGCAACTGTATTTGAGTTCTTCAGTCAAGAGCAGTGAGTCATTTTTCTCTTTGTTTTGTTGTTTTATTAACATTACAGGGATTACTACTACTTTTTCCTTCCCAAGTCAATGGGGACCAGCAACAGTTTGGTTACACACATTCTTCACAAAATAAATTAATACAGGTTTGGGACAATATGACAGTGAGTAAATAATGACAGAATTTTCATCTTTAGGTGAACTATCCCTTTATTTACAAGCAGCAGCATGTTTAGTACAAATAGTCTGCTGTCGCTTTAAGAACTGCACACATCTAATATACAGGCACGCGTCCGTTTTTCTCTCAACTGTTTAGTTTCACTGTAGACATAAACAACTATGTTTATATGTAAACCTTGTGTGTTTTGACAGTATTAGTGCAATCAGATGCGAAAGATAACTTAGTCTAGTAATCAGGCGCTGTTTAACAGGCTTTTTAGTGTGCGCGCGCTTCAGGTGTATGCGCTAAGAAAAAGCACATGTCAGAACAGCACACGAATGAAATGTTTAACCAGCAATGCTTTAAAGCACATGCAAACAATGTACTTTTGTAATTGCGAATAAGTACATTGTTCCATGAGTGCAACTCTACCGCTGAGTTAACATTTGATGTGAATGTATGTGGCGTTGTACAGTATAATGAGACGGAGGCGCGATAACTGCAACTGATAGAATGTGTGCTGTAACACGATACTACGATATTTCTGCAAAAGCAGATTGTGGAGACATTTTAATCGGCCAAGATAAAAAAAAATGGTCATATTGCTTTTGCTGATTCTACAAGGTGCAGGTAAAACTTACAACCACAACTCTATATTATGAATGTAGAATTAACATTATATCTGTTCTTATAAATGATTAGTTCACTTCCAAAATAAAAGATAACTGCAACTGATAGAATGTGTGCTGTAACACGATACTACGATATTTCTGCAAAAGCAGATTGTGGAGACATTTTAATCGGCCAAGATAAAAAAAATGGTCATATTGCTTTTGCTGATTCTACAAGGTGCAGGTAAAACTTACAACCACAACTCTATATTATGAATGTAGAATTAACATTATATCTGTTCTTATAAATGATTAGTTCACTTCCAAAATAAATAAAAAAAATTTAGGAGAAAAATCCTGGAAAGTTTTCCTCAAAAACCTTAAAGGGATAGTTCAACCAAAAATAAAAATATTACCCCATGATTTACTCACCCTCAAGCCATCCTAGGTGTATACGACATTCTTCTTTCAGACGAATACAATCAGAGTTTTTCACTGTCCAGGCTAATCCATGCTTTATAATGGGAGTGGATGATGTAGAATTAACATTATATCTGTTCTTATAAATGATTAGTTCACTTCCAAAATAAAAAAAATTTAAATTTAGGAGAAAAATCCTGGAAAGTTTTCCTCAAAAACCTTAAAGGGATAGTTCAACCAAAAATAAAAATATTACCCCATGATTTACTCACCCTCAAGCCATCCTAGGTGTATACGACATTCTTCTTTCAGACGAATACAATCAGAGTTTTTCACTGTCCAGGCTAATCCATGCTTTATAATGGGAGTGGATGGTAGCCCAAAATTTATAATTTCAGCATACATTTCTAAACCTATCAACTTAATAAACTTTAATCTCTAGCTTCTGCTAACTGTCGTGCTCGTTCACGAGAGAGTGGCGTCCAGTGGATGACGTAGGCGTAGCGTAAACTCCGGTGTGCAGGGCCGGATTTACGCATAGGCATTCTAGGCACGTGCCTATGCTTGCTCGTCCAGAGGGGGTCCAAACATAACTAAGAAATGTATAATATTTTTGTTATACTATGGGATATCTACAACAGTAAAAGAACTAAAACCCCAGAAGACATTGAGCAAATAAATATAACAAATAATAGGGTAAAAATGACAAACTATTTCCATGTCTTCCACCTTTTTTTATGTACGGAAATCACGCTTTCTTTCTCCCGTTCTCTCTCACAGACACACACAAAGTACAGACACGCACTCGCGCACACACGCAGACAGAAACTTGTCAGCGCTGCCCCGTGAATTTATCAATAAAATAGTTGCGCAGCTGAAAAGCTACATGACATTTCTCAGTAGCAAAGTTCTTGAAGCAGTTCAAATTGAAGATTCGCTATTAGTAGACGCTGCTGCTTAACACTGCTGAGAGACGCACAGACGCAGGTATTCACACGCACTTCTCGCTCTCTCTCCCTCGCTCTCTCTAATAACTGCGTTAGCCTGCATATCAATAGCTCAAGCCTCTGTTATTAGCTCTAAAATGACATTTTGGAATTTGCAACGGAAGGTTTGGGATGAGTGTGCGTAAAAAATTAGCTAGTTCAACACACACGAGATTACAGGACAGAAACAATGTCTTGAAACAAATCATTTGAACAATCGATGTGCAATTGTGACTCCACAGGCCGTTAAAATTATTAGAGAAATAATGCACTCCCGAAGTGGTTATTATGTGGCCACGTTGCCGCGCCTATTAATGGAATGGTCTTTCTCAGTTCTCAAACAAATAAGGAACCTACATTCGATTTTTATTGACTGAACGCAAGCGCTTATTGTGACAGAAAACACTGTAATGGTTTCCACAGATTAAGAAATATTTTTGTTTGCTTGGGTGGTAATATTAGGCCTATTATATTAATAGGCAAGGGGGCCCAAAAATTTGTTTTGCCTATGTCACGAAAAGAGGTAAATCCGGCCCTGCCGGTGAGAATATGCTAGTCTCGCGAGAAACAAGTTTTGTTTACAGCAAAGGAAAACCATTGTCCTCTTGGCTTATATTGAAATCCTCTGACATTTTCTTTACAAATCCTCATTTTGTACTACTAAATCGTGACCGGTGTTTTGTTTAGCTCTCTCCTCTGCGCTTCCGCGTTCGTCACTTCTGCGTTTGTCACCGCGCTTGCCTATGTGCTACATTATCCGCTGGACGCCACTCTCTCGTGAATACGTGCACGACAGTTAGAGGAAGTTAGAGATTAAGGTTTATAAAGTTGTAAATATGGATATTTTTCTTACACAACTGCATCACGTCGCTTCAGAAGGCCTCAGGGGTCAGTAAATTATCAGAAAATGTTTATTCTGGAAGTGAACTAATCATTTAAGGGCTAAAATCTGACCACAAAGTCTATATAAATACCTTTCTGATAAATGTCTATAAAACCATTTACACATATTTTTACGTCATTTTTGATTTAACGATTACTTTATTGCACGTTGGTTCATCATTCACTATCAGCAATTTTAATATTTACGCTCCCCTAAACATCACATAAAAACAAGCATACAAAATGCTGTACATGTTGTCAGATGCGTGTGTGAGTGATGTAAGTGGGCGGCTCTGGCCACGTGCCGACACTCACATTTCTGAGTCTGCTAAAGCATGTGTTGGAGTAGGAGGATTTGCTGTAGCCAAGGCTTGAGGTACATGTGCTTATGTGTGAGTTAGTTACCTGGCAACGCGGAGATGAAGTCTCTCTGTAACATGGGTTTAAGGTATGAGTTTATATGGCCGTGCTGGTAGTGACACATGCGAGAAATCAGATGCTCCACAAACTCCACCTGATCCGATTCTGACCACTGATCAAACAGCTGGATGCACAGATCTTTCTCTTTCTCGAAATTCCCCTGTGACGTCCTCTTCCTCAAACCTGCCACTGAACAGTTCCCGAACTGGACACACAGACAATAAGACAGCGGCTGAGTGAAAATGAGAACACAGACATGCCAAAACTGACTTCACACCTGGGTTATTATAGTTAACTCAAAGTAAAACCATAAAAAATAAATAACTTGAAATAACTGAATAAAGTACAAATAAATAAATAAAATATAAAAACAACTTTATTATTTCAGCTAGTTGCCAAGGTCAAGGTCAAGTTTATTTATATAGCCCTTAACAATATAATAATAATACAAATTCCAAAAACAATAAAATCACAAAGTTTTAACTTAAAAAAAAAAATTTAAACAAAATATCTCTATTCTAATCTAACTCAATCTAATTCAAAATATTAACAAAAACTATAATGGTATCTCAATGATACTAAAATAACACTGCTTCACAGTTCAAACCAAAGTTTGATTGTATATAAAAAAAAAAAGTTAAAAACGAAAGTATTCATATTACTATTTATTCCTGGTGGAGGAGCAGGTTTTGTGATATATCTTATTTAATAATAGGAAAATGTATACACTATGGTTTAAATGGTTTTACTGCCTTGCACTATTCAAATGATCAATGGTATTCTAACACAGGGGTGGGCGATACAGCAAATGTATCACAATTTTTTCAGGAAAATCACAATTCACGATTTTATCACGATTCTTTGTCATTATGTACAGTCAAACTAATTTCCCTATTTTAAAAACAAAGCCTTACAACGTAATAATAAAAAAAAAAACAATGGCAGACATTTTGGCCAAAGTGAACGAAGATTAAAAATCACTGTCATTATTTTATCTTTGTTATTAAAAAATAAGAACAAATACATAAACACTTCAATTACACATTGATTCTTATTAAAGCAACTGTTTTAAAGTTCTTCAGTCAAGAGCAGCGAGTAATTTTTTTCTTTGCGTTTTGTTGTTTTATTAACATTCAATTAATTATTTTGTGTTCAGCACAAGAGAGAAATTAATACAGGTTTGGGACAACATGAGAGTGAGTAAATAACGACAGAATTTTCCTTTTTGGGTAAACTATCCCTTTATTGACAAGCAGCAGCATGTTTAGTACAATTAGTCTGCTGTCGCTTTAAGACCTGCATGCATCTAATATACAGGCACACATCCATTTTTCTCACACTTTTTACATTTACTTTAAACATAACCAACTGTGTTTATATGTAAACCTTATGTGTTTTGACAGATCGCGGAGACATTTTAATTGTCCACGATAAAAATAAATCGTCATATATTTTAACTAAATGTAAGACTTTAAGACCCGCAGAAATATAAATATATATACATGTATATATATATATATACAGTGGGTACGGAAAGTATTCAGACCCCCTTAAATTTTTCACTCTTTGTTATATTGCAGCCATTTGCTAAAATCATTTAAGTTAATTTTTTTTCCTCATTAATGTACACACAGCACCCCATATTGACAGAAAAACACAGAATTGTTGACATTTTCGCAGATTTATTAAAAAAGAAAAACTGAAATAACACATGGTCCTAAGTATTCAGGAAATAAAAAAAAATTACATTTCAACTAGTTGCCAAGGAATCATTTCTCATTTTCATTCAGTTTAATTTGAAATAGTTAATAAAAAACAAAATTGTTAAAACTAAAAAGAAAACAGAAAATATAAAGATAACACCTAATTCAAAATATTAACAAAAACTATTGATAGAAGCAATGATAGTAAAATAACACTGCTACTTGGTCAACTAGTAAAACTAACAGTGTAAGCAGTAATTTATCTAAAAGTAAATGATAAATATTTTAATTAAATGCATTGCATACCTGTTGGTGCCACAAACATTTTGTTGTCTCTCTGCTCCCACTCGCTGTAGTGGAGCGGTGATGTAACATTATTCTTGGAAACAGTTTCAGCATTTCAGAAATAAAAGTCTATTTTTAAAATGCACACACATTACAGTGAAGCACAACAGTTACCGTACTTTGCTTTTGAACTGATCTCTTTTTATAAACTCGGAGGACAATTAAATTACCACATGACCTTGGTGTTTGTCAACAGCAGGTAATTCAGCTGGGAATTTTTATGTGGTGGGAGAAAAACTATTTCTGGATATTCGGGATTCGGACGGAAATAAAATCACTGACTAGCCCTTGTAAATGTAAATATCTCTCTTTTTCACACACACCTTAAACACTGTTGTCTTCTTTGGTGAGACGTCATCTGTGTTATTTTGTGACTCCATCACCGTCATGCTCTACAGAGAGACACAAGAGAGAGTGACAGGTGGTAAACATGTGTCTGGCTGAAAAACAGGAAAATAATCGGTCCGAATAGTGCATTCTGGGTAAAACATTCCAAACACAAGCAGTTTAACATGCACACAGAGACGGCAAACATAAACAAACAGATTCAGCTCTCAATAGCCTCTAATCTGATGTCTGTGAGAACAAACTTTGAATCTTCTGTCAGTTCCACTGCAACTATCACAAAAATAACATAAATGTGGGAGGGGAGGAGTTTAAGGATGAGTGGGCGGAGCTTCATTTATGGCTGAACTGTTACTTTAATTGGACTTGTCAGCTTGGTGTGTTTAAACAGTCTTAATCACACAAAGTCTTAATAACATTTACTGTGGCTTGAGTGACTTCATTCACACACAAATGTCTGACCATTTCTGTAGTAGAACAAAATATCAAAGTGAGTCTCTGTATCTGCGAGTTTCAAATGTAGCAGGATCTTTTCTCTTCACTAATGTTCATTCTATTTTTGAAGTTTAAATGTCTTTAAATCAGCTGGTATTTTGGTGGATTTAATGAATGTATGAAGTCAGTTCGGTCAGCTCAAGTGTAGAAAACCACATCAACTAGCAACATCATCCACTAACTAAGCACAAACAAACAATACTGACTGTCTGTTTCAACTGTATGAGCTGCCAGCTGAATGCGATTTTGGCAATAGAGTGTTCCAAAGATAATGGCGTGATACGTGAATGTTTAGTTATACTATATTTTAGTTAGGGCTGCCCCCTAATAGTCGACTAACCTTTAGTCGACGAGAAGAGGCTTGGTCGACCAAAATGTTATTAGTCGCAGAAAAAAAACGCTGGATTTTGTGGTAATACAGTACATCTAAACGCTCGCCTGTCATTCATCGACCTCAAATATGGCTTATCATCTGAAATATGTAAGTAGTAGCAACTTTACATGGCCGCTCAATCTAACGTTAAAAGGTTAGTTCACCCCAAAATGAAAACTCTGTCATTAATTACTCACCCTCATGTCGTTCCAAACCCGTAAGACCTTCGTTCATCTTCAGAACACAAATTAAGATATTTTTGATGAAATGTGAGAGCTCTCAGACCCTGCATAGACAGCAACGCAACTGTAATGTTCCCAGGTCCAGAAACGTAGTAAGGACATCGGTAAAACAGTCCATGTGACATCAGTGGCTCAACTTCAGTTTTGCAAAGCTACAAGAATACTTTTTGAGTGCAAAGAAAACAAAAATAACAATTTATTTAACAATTCTTCTCCCCCGAGTTACGTCTTCAGCCATCGTCTTCAGCCATTTTGGAGAGTACCCAAGAGCGTAATCGACGTAATCAGCATAAATTAGAAAGGATAAGTGTCTGTGACCCGTAAAAAAAAAAAATACTAACATTTGTTTCCCGGGGATTCATTTTACATGCGCAAAAAGCAGCAAACAACAGAACATGTGGATTCACATGCTCATCATATCGCATCACGCACCTGCAGCGCTTCTGCGAGTGGAGAAAAACATAATAAAGCTAGGCTACATATATATATATATATATATAACGAATAAATAGGCCTATACGAGAAACATTTTTACTTCAATAATAAATTAAGAAAATTAAAGAAAAACAACAAGTAGCCTAGTACACAGAGTTTTGGTTCATTTTTGTGCTGCACGAAAGGAAACAGACGGCAGAAAGCCGCCTCCTATTTTTCTTTAGGCTTATTTTACATTTTGACAAAGATTTGTCTTTATTGTGAATATACACAAATAAAGGCAAACCTTGTATAATTCAGATTATCTTTAGGACTAAAAGGAGTAGTTTCTTTCACTGTTAGAAGGAAAAAACTCAAGTGATTGCGGCAGTGCTGCATGCGCGCACACAGTTAAGTTTTGCAGCCTGATCATTATCATAATAAAATACAATCAGTCAAACATGGGGAAAAAATAAAAATAAAACTGTAGTAAAAAAAAACAAAAAGTAGTAAAATCTGTGCCGTTAAGTGTCATCACTGTACCGCCGTGATGTTATGCAAAACATTTTGTTTTACGTGGATATTGGAACGCAAGTGAAATACATAAATAATAATTTGCCATTCAAATTCGAGGTTTCAGTTTTTACTTCAATAATAAATTAAGAAAATTAAAGAAAAACAACAAGTAGCCTAGTACACAGAGTTTTGGTTCATTTTTGTGCTGCACGAAAGGAAACAGACGGCAGAAAGCCGCCTCCTATTTTTCTTTAGGCTTATTTTACAAATGCACAAAGATTTGTTTTTATTGTGAATATACACAAATAAAGGCAAACCTTGTATAATTCCGATTATCTTTAGGACTAAAAGGAGTAGTTTCTTTCACTGTTAGAAGGAAAAAACTCAAGTGATTGCGGCAGTGCTGCATGCGCGCACAGTTAAGTTTTGCAGCCTGATCATTATCATAATAAAATACAATCAGTCAAACATGGGGAAAAAATAAAAATAAAACTGTAGTAAAAAAAAACAAAAAGTAGTAAAATCTGTGCCGTTAAGTGTCATCACTGTACCGCCGTGATGTTATGCAAAACATTTTGTTTTACGTGGATATTGGAACGCAAGTGAAATACATAAATAATAATTTGCCATTCAAATTCGAGGTTTCAGTTTCGTTTTAGCCTAAATTAATTTGTTTTGGCTTGTCGTTTATATTGCTATAGCTTCTTATATTTTTAATTCTTGTTCTTTTCCAAATTATGTTAATTGAAAGGATTTGTTGTGGAGTGAGGGGAACTAACACTAGCTATGTTTACAGTGTTTATTATAATGTTTGTAAACATTTTGCGTCGGCATTAGGCCTATTTCTGAATGAACAGTTAAGTTTTGCAGCCTGATCATTATCATAATAAAATACAATCAGTCAAACATGGGGGAAAAAAAAAAAAAAAAACTGTAGTAAAAAAAAAAACAAAAAGAAGTAGTAAAATCTGAGCCGTTAAGTGTCATCACTGTACCGCCGTGATGTTATGCAAAACATTTTGTTTTACGTGGATATTGGAACGCAAGTGAAATACATAAATAATAATTTGCCATTCAAATTCGAGGTTTCAGTTTCGTTTTAGCCTAAATTAATTTGTTTTGGCTTGTCGTTTATATTGCTATAGCTTCTTATATTTTTAATTCTTGTTCTTTTCCAAATTATGTTAATTGAAAGGATTTGTTGTGGAGTGAGGGGAACTAACACTAGCTATGTTTACAGTGTTTATTATAATGTTTGTAAACATTTTGCGTCGGCATTAGGCCTATTTCTGAATGAAATAATAAAATGTGACTTATACCCGACTTGTTTTTTCCCCATTTTTTTATATGCATAGTTTATTTTAACCATGCAGCAAACCTTTTTCAATATTTTGATAAATTACTTGATAAATAATTAAATGACTTTTTAAACCATTTAACTGATTGTATTAATCGGTCAAAATTCTTACGGTCGGTTAACCTGTTACAGTTGCGTTGCTGTCTATGGAGGGTCTGAGAGCTCTCACATTTCATCAAACATATCTTAATTTGTGTTCCGAAGATGAACGAAGGTCTTACGGGGATTGGAACGACATGAGGGCGAGTAATTAATGACAGAATTTTCATTTTGGGGTGAACTAATCCTTTAACCTAGAAAAATGTGCGCTTTTCAAGTGTGAAAGCTGAACAGTTGCGAGTTCACAGCGTGACAGATGGAGGCACCGGTGCGCTCACTTGCTCTTAAAATACTCCGTCATTTTGGTCATACGAATAAGAGTAATACATCTTTCGAATCTGTAAAGCCTCTACGTTTATTTGTGTGCATTCACGATAACAACAAAACATTGTGCTTTTGTAAAATAATGAAAGCAATCAGGATGCGCTTTCTGCCGTCTCGGCCTCTGTGAACTTGAGTGTAAAACTCTGTGTATGCTTGCCTTACAGACATGAAAAATATATCTATAGAGTGAAATGTCTACTTTCAAATTAAACAATTCAAATCAGAAAAAACAAATATTCTCAGATTATGTAATCCATATGGAACTTGCATGCAGGCGCATTCACTACTGTGGAGATGACGAGTCAGTGTCGCCGAATTAATATCTTAAGCCGAAATCACAGAAAACACTAGTTTATCAATAGGTTATTAAAATGTTAATGCAGTTTAACCTTACTGTTTTTCCCTGATACATTCATCATCATTACTTCTGCCGGTGCGCTGTGGCAAGCTTTATGCGTGTGCGCTTGAGCGCTTATTAGGCTATGTAGGCAATTAAAGGCTCATTAGCATGATTTAATTGGTTTATTAATAAACGTGCGATTAGTCGACTAATGCTTAAAATGAAGGACTACTAGTTGACCAGAAAAATCTTTAGTCGAGGGCAGCCCTAATTTTAGTTATACTGAACTTTTTTTATCTACACTTTTTTGGTAAAAATTGAATTATACGTTTATTTATAATAAACACTTCTCTACTTCATCTACGTCAGTGCAATGCATTATGGGATTAGAACAGAGCAATCACTATCAAAAGTTTGGAATTATTAATACTGTAAAAAAAGTAACATTGTGAAATATTATTACAATGTAAAATAAGTGTTGTGTGAATATATTGTAAAATTTAATTTATTCCTGTGATTAAAAGCTGTATTTTCAGCATCATTACTCCAGTCTTCAGTGCCACATGGTCCTTCAGAAATCATTCTAATATGCTGATTTGCTGCTCAAGAAATATTTCTGATTAATATCATTGTTGAAAACAGTTGTGCTGCCTAATATTTTTGTGGAAACCTTGATACATTTTATTTTTCTGGATTCTTTGATGAATAGAAATGTCAAAAGAATGGCATTTATTTGAAATAGAAAACTTTTGTAAGATGTCTTTACTGTCACTTTTGATCAATTTAATGCATACTCACTTACTTTAAATGAAATGGTCCTGACCCTAAAATACTATCAGGGGCACTTTAGGATTTATTAAAATTGGATTGTTCTGTTTAATAAACTTTTAATGCATGTGTGTGTTTCTCAATAGAAAAAGTTCAGATATGAGATGGTAAGACTAAAGCAGACACAGACAGACAGGCAAGCAGAGAAAGAGAGAGAGAGAGAGTGGCAAAAGAAAGACAGGTGCTGTGCTCTTCAGCAGTTCCTTTTCTGTTTTCTCACAAAAAAAAAAAACAGGCCAATTATGCTGACTGAATTACAGCTCAGTAAACTAAGACATCTACGAATTTAAAGATCAGCCTTTTATATCACATCTAGAGACAAGAAGCCAAACACACATACACACATCCAGTGCATGAGACGGACAGAAAGACGGGAGGAGCGGAGAGAAGAGGAGAGCAGAACCTGGTTGTGGGCCCGGGAGGACGGGAGGCTCTGCAGGCATCTGAGAGCACACAGACTCTCTGCCACCGACGAACAACCCAGCCAGACAGAACGAGGCAAAGAACACTGTGTGAGAGAGAGAGAGATAGATAGAGAGAGAGCGAGAGAGAGAAAATAGAAGGGAATAGGAGGGAACAGAATGGGAATATGCCATAAAGAAAGAGAGAACAGAAGGCAAAACAGAGCGAGAAAAGAAGGAAAGAACAAACAAAAGACCAGACCAACAAAAGAAAGTCAGAACGAAAGAAACAGTAAACCAAGGAGGAAAACAATGAAAGACAGAAAGAAAAGAACAAACAATGGACAAGACAGAAAGAATGAATATATCGATGAACAAAGAAGGAATAAGCAAACAAACATAGAAAAAATAAACAACAAAAATGATTGAAAAAGAAAGAAAGCATGCAAATAACAGTAGTGAAGTGAGGGTACAAGTGAAACGGTGTGAAAAAGAGAAAAGAGTAGAGTCAGTGAGGAAAGTGAGAGGAAAAAACAGTATTAGAGCAACAGTGAGCAACACACACACACACACTCCTGCAGACAGTGTTTTACATGGACCAACAAACACAATTATGAGTAGGTGGAAAGACGGCGTGGCCTATTAGGCTCCTCCCCTTCTGCACTCCATTCAAATATGAGCTATGGATATGTGAACACAAACTTTACACACTCAAGACATTCATGCTCTAGTGCTGAGCTGTGTGTTTGTGCATGACACTCAATGAAGCCTAAAGTCAAATTTAAAGATGGTAAATTGCTTATTTAACCATTTAATTATTATTGTTTTTATTCAAATGTATCTAATTATTTATATTACTCATAATTTATTTATATTTATTTTATATATATTTAATTATTTATTTAAATTAATATTATTTAAATTCACTAAAACATTGAGCTAGTTTGATAAAATTGTTTTTTTAAACCTTAAATTTAAAGATGGCAAACTATTTATTTAAAAAAAAAATTTATTTTAAAATTAGTTATATTATGATTATTTTTTAATTAATTAAATATTAAATCATTAATATATTATTTGTAATGTACTTTGATCCATTTATCAGCATACATACATAATATAAAATGTAATAATTTATGACAATAAATATATATATATATATATATATATATACAGTGGGTACTGAAAGTAACAATTTAAACTATTAATATTATTATTATTTAAATTTATTAAAACACTGCGCTAATTTGATATGTTATTAAAACCTTAAAAGGGAAAGTGCACCTAAAAATGAAAATTCTGTCATAATTTACTCACCTTCAAGTAATTCCAAACATGTATGCGTTTCTTTGTTGAACACAAAAGAAGACATTTTGATAACCAAACAGCTGCTGGTCCCCACTGACTTCCATAGTATGAGAAAAAAATGTGGGCCAGAAAGTCTTCAGTTACCCACATTCTTCAAAATATCTTATTTTGTGTTGTTTAGAACAAAGCGGAGTACAAATTATGAATTTTCATTTTTGTGTAAAATATCCCTTTACACTGTAAGACATTTTGGCCATTTCATGTTTGACTATTTTACTAGACCTCACACTAATAATAACCATTCATAGATCTGCATCCAAAACTCCAAATCCCATTCAAAACAAACCAGGCACTGTGTCTCCAGGCAGCTGGCCTTTAACAGAGAGGCTGTTGTTAAACTCAACCTAACATGGCCCCAGATGAAGACTAGCATAATCATGACAGATCTAGAGAGACTGAACTAGTTGTTCAGTGGTTACACCCTCTTGTCCAACTATGCATGACCTATCAGGGGACAGAGGTGTAGAAATAATAGTGCACGTGCCAGTTTAGTAAATGTGAATAGCATAAACATTACTAATTAGTCATTTATTAGATGTTTTTATGCAAAGTGGACAATGTCATAAGCATGAATAGACTTTGTAACACATGATGCTTATAGACAGCACATTATAACTACATATAGAGTATAACCTATAATAATAAACACAAAGACTGTGATAAATGAAGCACATACACTGTATGTAATGATATCCAGGACACATATAAGAGGTATTAATACATATTAGGCTGTTCACATAGTGAATGAATGGCATATCGGTTGTGTAGTAGGGCATATGAAGCGCATACAGATTCTGTATATTTGGATTCTACATATAGATACGCACATATGAACTGTATGTGATATATGAGACTATATAGAGTGTGAAAAATTAAGCATAAATAGACGATATGTGACATATAGATTGCATATGCATACATTGTTTGAAGCACATATAGACTGTGTCATATGTGAAGCATAGACTGGATGAAATGTATGAAAAGTAAATATATTTTGCATCAGATTTATAAAGCACATATAGATGGTTTAATAAATTAAGCTCATACAGACAAAATGTTATAGGAGGCGCTTATAGACTTACATATGTTCATACAGACAATGTGAAATATTAAGCACAACTAGATTGTTTTATATATGAAGCGCATATAGATTGTTTTATATGTGAAGCTTGTATAGTAGATTATTTAATATATGAAGCACATATAGATTGTTTTATATGTGAAGCTTGTATAGTAGATTATTTAATATATGAAGCACATATAGATTGTTTTATATGTGAAGCTTGTATAGTAGATTGTTTTATATATGAAGCGCATATAGATTGTTTTATATGTGAAGCTTGTATAGTAGATTATTTAATATATGAAGCGCATATAGATTGTTTTATATATGAAGCGTGTATAGATTATTTAATATATGAAGCACACATAGATTCGATGTGATTTATGAAGCACATACAAATTGTTTAATAATGAAGTGAGCACGGATTGTTTAACATATGAAGCTCATATTAACTACATGCGTTATGAGGCACATATACATTACTTAATATATGAAACTCGTGATAAATGAAGCTCGAGTATAGCGAATACAGGCAATGTGATATAGCCTACCAAACGCGTATACACGGTTTAATGCATGAATCACGTATATTAGTAGCTATATGAAGCGAATATAAACTGTGATATATCAAACGCGTATAAGACTATTTCATATATGAATCACACACATACACAGCGCATGTAGACTATATACACAACACACATGAAGTGCATATGCGATATCTGAATCACAAATAGACTGTATACACCAGGTCAAGTGCATATGTGTATGGTATGTAAAGCGCATAACCACTGTGATATACGACGCGCGCTGTGGCGCAGCGGTGCCGCAATGATCCTCCAGCGAACACAAACCTCGACATTCATACGCGACACTCTCGTCAAACCATGAGCGAAAAGTCGGTTTGATGACAAAACTTGAATCAATCCTTACAGCGCAACATGATAGCAGCCGATTGTTTTGTATCGATTCGGGCCGCCGCTGTGTTTTGTCCTCCTCCTTCTCTAGCCCGCGTTATACTGCGTTACAACAAACACAAACATCCGCACCCGCGCGAGCATCACACATTCAGACCGTGTCGTGTATGTTGTTCCGCACGCACCATCAGCTCCAGGGTTTTGTCCTCCATGTCCGGATCCATATTATTGTTGTTCTTCTGGTTGAACCCATCCATGAAAATGGAAACCCGTCCGTGAACCCGAGCGAAGAGAGAAACAACAAACGCCTACAAAACATGGAGCCACGCCGACATTACAGCAGAATAAGAGTCCTAGGCCACAGTGGCACTCACACTTAATAAAACAAGTCCAGTTGTTTTAAATGAGTTACAACGCCGACTCATTGATTGGATAATATTTATAAAATATTTTAATTTACTTTCCATTTAAAAAAAAAAAAAAGGCGAAAGATAATTGCAAACACTGGGAAAAAGGATTAGATATGGTTAAATGTTCAGCAAAAAAAATTAAAACAAATAAAATAAAAAAGAAACATGTTAACGATACTACAAAAAGTAAAATATATCATGAACAAATTTATAGACAAAGAAGATCAAAATAAGAATAATTAACTAATTACAATTGCACAATTTAGTTTTTTGATAAGCCATAACTTCTGTTATAACCTCTAAAATAATACAATTAATAATATATTACTCGATTTCAATAATATTTTATGTAACTATATTTCAACTATACACATTATATATTTTATTTGGCACTAGTCTTCGAATTTCAGGTCCTTAAACAGAAATCTAATTAAGAGTACACACAGACCTCTTTAGATGCAACAGTCTGCAAGTTTGTATTTTGCAAAAATCGTTTAATCTTTACTAAATTGTGTTTTACATCAGAGGTTTTCCATTTTTCAGATGCCCCAAATATGATTATTCTCATGCGAGGGACCCCAGCCCTAAAATATAAAAAGGCAAATATATATATATATATATATATATATATATATATATATATATAAAAAAAA